TCAGAGACTGAACCATCAGAGATTGAACCATAACAGACTGGACCATAAGAAGCTGGTCTGATTACCATCATAGACTTGTCTGATGAGTCCAGATGTCAGTCCAGCAGCTTTGAGATGTGGTGAATCATGGTTTTATATGGACCAATCACTGAGCAGTTCTGAAGGTAAAAGCAGTTCTGACTCAGTTTTAGCATGATGTAGCTAATAAAGAGGCTGGTGAGTTTATTTCTAATTAATGATTAACTAATATGAAGAATTAATAATCCTAATAACTTGTTCGTATTTCCTGGACTACAAATCAGGTGCAGCTTATTCAGGGTTTGTTTAACCCAAAACAGTTCAGCTTTTCATGATGGTATTAAAAGTGTTCCAGAGAAACCATAATTCCAACATTCTGTTTTAACATGAGCATACAGTTTGCTAAAAAGGATACACTGACTCTTTTAATAAACTGATGGTGGGTTTTTTCCAGCTGTTTTCTTCTTCAGTGGTTTCCACAGCAAGAAACTCTTTTTTCTCTTTTTAGTAACACTGATTGGTTGAGATTGGTCTTTAACTCAGAAATCTAACCTGCTCTGAAGCAAAGCAGGTTTCTAACATGACTAGCTTCAGCCTCAGGTAAAAGTCAAGCAGAAGCTGAACCTGATATAAAGCTGACATTACTTTGCCATGTCACAAGTCCTGATTGTACATGCACTAATGCATCTTCCTGAAACCCCTACTCATTTAGATTTGTTTTTTATCCATTGATTGCACCTCCTCATCTTCAGCACCTGTTCATAAAGTCTCTGAGAGGAGAGAGCAGGCTGTGAGTTCAGCAACACGTCAGAGGACAAGTTCACAACTAAATGTTGTAAACATCTACTCTGAGGGTGTATGAAAGAAAATACCACTGATTGTTTGTATAAATATATTAATTTCATTAATTAGTCCTCATGTTGGAACTTGCTTCAACCTCCCTCTACACAGGTATTTACTTATAAAACACACTGTCATGAGTGAACTGACCCTGAACCTCCTGTAGACTTGCAGATGTAAAAACCCAATAAATTATTGTATATTTGGATAAGTAAAATGAACTATAATCTTCTACATTTTCTGGTCTACATTCCAGTTAAATGCCGCTGATTGTAAGTTCTAGTGTGCCCCGAGCTTTAGTCAGTGATGTTCAGTCATATTTTCCAACCATAATTTTCAGTCAAATCAAAAGTAGAAGAACTGAAGATAACTTGATTCAAACAAGCCCAAACAGCTGGGTTTTTATTTAAGTTACATTTAATAACAACTCAAACCAGCATCAAATAAATAAAATCTTTTCATCTCAAACTTTTCCTCCTTGCTTGGTAGAAGATGAAAAAAACATGATGAAGAAATCCCAGATCAGATTATTTAATCCTACATTAAAACATTTTGTGTAATTTCTAATCTCACTTCGATTACTGTGTATTTTTTATCAGCTTGGCTTATTGCAGTCTTTAAAAAACACATTTTAGAAAAACATTACAGATTTGTGACATTTGTTTAAATAAATCTACAAGCTCACGTTTCTCATTTTATAGGTGTATTTGTTTGTTCAAATCTTCCTGCTTTTATCATGTCTAAGAAAACGCAACTTAAATAAACCTTAAAAACTCTAACCTAACTCACGACTGAAATGAATGAAACCAGAGTCTAAAAATATCGTCAAATAAAAACAAATCATCATTAACCTTCAGTATGTTCAGACTCCATGTAATTAGTTTCAATATATATATA